AACCGGGTGGCTCAGTTTAAACAGGCATTGAAGGTAGGTTTGAGCAAACCCGCTTGACTTTGCACCAAAGCAGATGGCAAGTGCTCACACAACCCAGTATCCATATCCGTAACAATCAGATGAGCTGCGAAGCTGTAATCTGTGGCAGATGGAAAATGACAGCACAAAAGGTTTTACCATGGCCCTCAAAGCCATTCACAAAGGTAACAAATAGGAAGCAAAACCAGGCATCTCAGATTGTGAAATAAGTGCTTCTCCCCTTTCCTACCACCACAGAAGACTGGCTATTTCCAGAGGACGAGCTGAGACCTCTCATCAAAACTCAGTCCAAAACCAGACAACTTGCTATGAAAAACTGAAAGGGGACCCTGGCACAGGAGTGTCTACATAGCTCAAGTCTGTGCTGAATCCCCACAACCTTGAACTGATGCTTTGCTGAACCTTTAGGGGAGATCTGGAAAATATACCACTCGCCCATGCACACAGATTGGAGTCATTGCTGGCAGATTCATCAGATTCTTTGCAGATTAGGCAGTCATCTTGGAAGCACAATCAGTTGTAAAAAGACTGAGGCTTTCTCGTGGATTTGATGCTCGAGAACGCATATGTTTGCTATGTTCAAAACTGGATGTTTTGGGTCACCTCCCCTAAAGCCTTTCAAGTTCCAGAGGACCCCTAACTGCTTGAAGGGCAACATTCATTTTGCAGACTTCAATTCTTAGTCTTATCCCAAAGCTGCCTGCTTGGAAGTCAAAAGAAATAACTAGACAGCAGAACAGCCTAGGTCAGGCGTGACACTCTGCAGTGTCACTGCTGCTTGGTGCTGCTATGCTCCAGAGGATGCCCCCTTCATGTCCAGTTTGCTGCCTTTGAAAAGACCAGGTCTTTTGCTAAGCACAAGGATGCTGCCCCCTGCCCATCTGGGTCAGAGCAGAAGATGAGACACACTGGTGAGCCCCAGAAACAGAAGGACAGAACATTAGCTTCTGATAAAATGCCAGTCCCGTGAAGTGCAAGGCATTTACTGGAGAAAAGGCTTTATTATGGAGGGACATTGTAACACACCACACTGCTCTGATGCTCCAGGTCTCTGGGAGGACTCAGATCTAGTGCAAATCCTTAGCTGAACCACAGAGGTGTTGGGTCTGCCACCTCGGTGAGAGGCCCTTCCTACCTCAAGACTCCTCCATCAGCGGTGTTTGTCTCTGACAAGGAGGGTCTGAGCCCTGCTGGAACAGGCTGAGGGTTAGGTAAGGCGAAAGGGAGAGCACAGATCCTCGCAGCTGAGCAGTAGCAGGCAAGCAACTATTTCAGATGACAAATTGCCCCAGGCTGGAAAGCAGCCGGATAGATCTGAATAGAGTTGCTGTCAAAATATCAATGCTGTTCATGAGTTTGCAGGATTGTGATAGTGCAGAGCCTGCCTTTCAGTACGCAAGGGCTGACTATGGCTTCTTCCGTCTCTTCTTGTCCATGGCGGCTGCTTGTGCCTGCAGCTGACTCCAGTACTCAGGCAACTGCTCCCTGAGTCCCAGTAGGCTCTTCTGCCTAATGAAGGAAGAAATGGGTGGTTAAAACAGTCCCTGCCATTTCCTCGGTGCTCAGACAACCTTAGCCTGATTCCCCTAAGGGTCCCTGGGGCTCACTACAAATTAAGCAGTTCAGACTTCCTGTGTCCAAAAAAACTCAGTGATTCCCTCATGCCACTCAGCACTCAAGTTTACTGCTCTTGACAGCAACGACCTCCATATTTCTCTTTGCCTGTAGCCTCTGTAGACACAGGTCTCACCACAGTTGTATAGGTGTGCTCTGGATTGAGCTCCCAGTACCCAGGGTGCAAGATATCCCTGGAGGTGATGTCTCCCCAGTTCTTCTGGTATAAGGCAGACGAGTGTCTCCTCTGCAGCTTTATGAGAAGGGGGAACAGAACTGGTTGCTGGTAGCACAGAATGAAACTTTTTTGCACTTAACTAGACAGACACCACCACAGGATTCACCCTGGAGACAAGGAATTAGGGAAGGCTAACAGCGAGTATGTGCTGTAAGGTCATACCTGCACCCACCTGTTCCATTCCAAATTGGAGAATTAAGGCATAGTGAAAAGAACAAACAGGATATCGTTGACATGGGTCTAGCTCCAGGGTCCCAAAACAAGTAAAATGTCACGCAATAAGAGATGTCACATTGCCATCTAGTGACGGCATGAGCTCAATGCAGCAGCTAAGTTCTGCAACCTCGCCCTGAGAGTGCTGGGGACCTTCTCAAAGAGAGAAATTTCCAACACAAATCTGTTTAAACATCAAACGAACCTAAGGAATGGAGGGAAGGTGCGAGGTGCAAAGAGATTCCAGCTCTGCCTGGCTGTTGGGGTCAAAAAGAAGAGGCAGACACAAAAGGTAGAATCTTATTCCTTGGCAAGATTGCACAATCTGCACTGCTCAAAAGCACATTAGAACTAGCGAGCCCTCTCTACCTGGAATGACAAGTCTGCCCCAGATATCCTCACTTATACCTGTTTAAGGTGTTCCAGGAAGGACAGAAGGGAGAGGAGGAAGGGTTCTGGGTGGCTGTCAGGAATCCAGCTACCTGGCCTTACCCAGACGTAAATCTGTCTCAGTGCACTCAGAAGCTCCAGGGTGAGACCTTGCATGGACCTGAGCAACACCACAGCTTACAACAACACACATGCACTTACCTGTCAGGCAAAAGGTAACTTACCTATCACGTAAGAAAATGTTACATCTCTCAATCCATGGCAGGTTCTGCGAGGATTGGAGAGGCAAATTTGGGAAAGCCTCCTCCAGTGGATAGGAGTTGAAGTAAAAAATGAAGATGGTGCTGTGACTGGCTCTGCTCTCTGCCAATGCATCTGGCTCCTGCTGCTGATCTCCTAGACAGAAACAAGAAGAGAAGGTTATTGCATCAGGAGTCATCCTATGAGAACTCTCAAGGATCAGTGCACAGCTGAATGCGCCCAGTGACCACGTATCTAAGCCCATTCCAAGGTGCAACCCACCTTGAAGCAGCAGGCACCAATTCACACTGTCTACTGCAAACACTGGCTGCCAGGGAGATGCTACAGCATAAGAAGGTGGAGTACTGAGGCGGTAAATCTGTGATGTGGCAATGTTCATCAGGGACACTGTGCCATCCCAGAAGAAGACCAGGGCCTGAAAAAGCAAGTTGACACTTAAAAAAAGATGTAAGAGGTGAAAAGTATTTTCTGAAAAGGACATGGAATGACATTCAGGTCTTCACATCCCCAGCCATGATGCTGTTTTGTTTGTGGCTCAGTAGTCATAGGGCCACAACAGATGAGGAACAGGATGTGCAGAGAACACAGAGCTGGAATTGGTGCGGGTTGGGATTGGGAAGGAGGAGCGGTGCAGGTTAGGACTGAACTAGATCCAATCTTCTGCATGGCTGGCTCTGGTAAGCAGTTTTAGTCTTTTTCTCCCCATGCCTGAAAACTTTGAGGCCACCTGAAAGGTCTGGCTGGATTTGTGCTTGCAACTTCTCCTCATCATGATGCCCTCTCGTATTTGACCCTGGTGCCTGAAGCTTCATGCCTGGACCTTCTCACCTTTGCAGACTGACTTGTCCATGTGCAGAAAGCCTCAAGTGCCTCCCACCTCAGTGGTCAATTAGAGGACAAAAGGATACTGATTGAGATCATAGAAGATAAACCCTTTGAGTTACCACCTACATACAAAGCTGTAACTGCTTCAGGAAGTCCCCCTGCTAAAAACAGTTGGAGGCTAGGAAAGGATGTCAAGGCAGTATTGCCCTGTTCTTTATCTTCTAGGTACCCAGTTACAGCCATTACTGGAAGCAGGATCCTAGACCAGATGGACCTGTGTTCTCACCCAGATCTTAAGAGAGCTGGCAGTAATACTCACTGTACTGGGGAATACCAGGACAGGTGCCACAGCACTGACAGCAAGATTGGGATCTTCAGGCCTGTAAAACAGAATCAGGCTTATGCCACTCTTTCATGCACCTGGCAGATACTGAGAGATTGTAATGGTTCCAGCCAAGCCCTTTCCCTGTGGAGACAAAGCCTGTCTCCTCCTGTGCAGGAACCCCTGAGGCCTATCCCTGTGCATACCCACCTAGGAACTATATTGGAGATACAAATCCAATATACAATAATATACCATAATACTGGGAACTATAATGGAAATATATGAAACCAAAGCCTCTAGAGCAGCAGCGTCCCCAAAGTTGATCCTTCTCAAACCACGGTGATAAGTGAACATAAAATTGATAAAGAGATGGCAAGAAATGCTTATTCTGACTTCTAGGGGGAAGTCATTCTGGCAAGGACAGAAGAGAGAAGAAAACGTTCCCCTGGGTACCTGGCAGTAACCCAGCTAGCTGAACATCAGCCCTGGGCAGTGCTACAAGCGATTCTGTTCTATTGCATAGAAGAACCCAGGAACAGACCTAATTCTGGCATAACCATTGGATTTTAGCACTGGAACTGTCTCCTAGCAAAACAGACTTGCTGCTGAGAGCAGCAAGGCAGAGCTATCTGGGTAAATGCAGTAGAAAGTTCTCTACCCCACAGATATCTGGGGCTCCATGCTGGACCTGACCACTATACCACACAGTTGCTTTGGCTGGAGTGAGGTCTATCAGAGTTTACCTCACCTGTCTACCAGGAGCTCGATGCTGGACTTCCCAGACCCAGGTGCTTCCACCAAATAGAGCGAGCTGTCTGTACACAGCACTAGAAGCTGCACAGTGGGATAGGCAGGATCTGTACCCGGGCAAGGTGTCTTATCACTGGTAACTGCAGAACTCTGCAGAAAGTGGATACTACGGATGAGACGTTCCTCTAAAATGGCAGTCACAGACAGGGGATATCCTGGGGAGGCAGGGAAAAAAAACACAAGATAGCAGTTTAGGAAGAAAAAGGAACAGGCAACTTATTCAAGGAAAGCTTAGCTTGGACTGTGGCCTCCTCAGGGGCTGCAGCCACCAGAACAATCCTGATGGCAGAAGAATCTTCTGCCAGGAGAATCTCTGCATCATGGCAAGATGACACGACCACTGATGGCAGCCTGAACTGCAATGCCACAACAGCCTCAAAGGTGACCTGAGGGTGCAGTGGCAAAGAAGCAACAGTCTCGCAGCCTCAGTGCATGACAGGCATCAGTCCTCACTGCAGCAGTTCACAGCCTCTGCATTGCTGTGGATGGGAATGGTTCTGCCAGGGCTAAGGCAGTCACGCTGTGCTGGCAACTTCTAGTAAAGCAACCCATGAAGAAGTGAGTACAAACTATTTTCAGATTTGCTTGTAAACTCACTGCCAGTCCCCTGTTCACACCAAGCCAGAGCCTCAAACTCCTGGAGAAGGGAGCAATTTATCAACTGTGATCCCAAAACACAGTTCCAAAGGGCAAGCTCACCTAGGTGTTTATCCCAGATTGTTATTGCTGCATCTTTACACGCCAGTGCCAGGTACCTGGAACAGGAGCTGACAGCTGAGCATGCAATTGGAGCTGCACATGGCCACACAACTTCAGGTTTTGGATCAGAATCTAAACAGAAGGACATGGAGAAGCAACTGTAAGAAGGTGCAAAACATTCTCTCTCACGGTACCAGCTTCCAGTTTCCTAATAAAACACACCATTCTGGAGTCTCCTGCCAGAGTGGCTTCACTAAAATACTGCCAGCTTGTGCAACATGAAGCCCTGAAATCCAGCCTAACCCACAAGATATGGGGCAGCTCTCCTTTCCATTCCTCATTTCCCTGAATCACGAAGATCTGGCTGAACAACAGCCAATCCCCACAGAGTGCTCTGCTAGAGAAAGCAAGACTTTCTTACCCATTTTGTCCTTCAGTGAACGGTTAAGTAAGTAAAAGCAGAGATTGTGGCTTCCATCCCAGTGCACACTGATGCCAGCTGGAACATCTGGTACAGAGAAGCAGACAACAAAAGAGAGACTAGGGACAAAGAGAGCAACACTCCAGGACACCAAAACACCATTAGAAAGCTCTCATTAGAGCTCTCTCAGTTTCCCTGACAAGACTTACAGAAACTGCTCACACAGAAACTAAACTACAGCAAACTACCCCCTTGTCTGTTATTTTTATCTTGCCTATGTGTCCCCTCATCTTCTTAGGGGTTTGGGGGGTTTTCTGTGGGGTTTTTTCTTATAATTATGGAGATTAATTTGTTTGACTCCATGCTGGTGTCTGACTTATAAGTCTTAGGGCTGACACAGTTTTATGTCCTTGGAGATGGAATTATACAGTGAGCCCAAGTCAGAGCCATTGAGCTCTAACTGCAGCTCAATGTCATGCAACAATGTGTTTCATAGGTTAACAGCTCTTTGTTCATGTGGATTACCTGGCTGTACTTTTATTTCCGGTCCCACCTGTAGGATCTGACTAGCCGGGAGAAAATGAAAAGTAGCACGTCTGGGGAAAAAAAAGGAAGTAAGAAACATATGTAAAAGAAAGGCCTTGATAAGTGTGCAGCACTGCAAAAAGTCCTGGAATGGCTCTAGCCCCCTGCCCTGAAGCCTTGGGATGAAGGAGGCAAAGCATCTACACTTGAGAAGTGCCCTATGTCGAAGTCTTAGGCACTGAAATCCTGGTTGGGACTCCCACTCACCTGGGGATCTCCTCCTTGCTCCCTCTCTCATCCTCAGCCTCCAGATACTCCCGATAAGCGCTGCGGAAGATTGCTTCCTGCTGCTCCCACTGGGAGTCCTTGATGAGGTGATTGTGCCCCAAGCCAAGCACGCCGTCATCATCCACTTTCTTCAAGGCATCCAAAGGGCTTTTAAAATTACTGCCTGGATTGGGAACACAAAGGGAAAAGGCCCAGCCCTGGAGGAGCAGACACCACAGAGTGCTCAGAGAGACTTTGACCATCCATCCTTCAGGGTGGCATTGTCTTGAAGAGGGACACACTGCATCTTCCTGCTAGAAGTATTTCAACATTAAGAATATATTTTGTGGGACTTTCCATATCACTACCCCATTTTGCAGTAGGCAGAGAGAAGAGCAAGTCATCTGAGGACCCAGCTCAGCTTGCCGTTCTGTGCCATTGTCCCTGACAGTGTCCCAGCATAAGGTCTGCTCCCTCCCCATCTTCAGCATTTTCCTATGAATCCAGGCCTCAGAGTGGCAAGACAGGGGTGCTGTCAGGTTGCTAGGATCTAGGAAACAACCTCCTCCCTCTCTGGTGACAATGAAGCCAAGAGTGTATAACACCCACTTCAAGACACATGCAAGTGTTTTGTGCTAACAAAGGTGACATACGATGGTTGGGTAAGAAGCAACTCCCACAACAGGATTACGTGTAAGTACAAAGACAGGTCAGGAAGGGACCAGGGAGCACGTTGCTGAAACTTCCTGACATTTTCTGTAGTCATAAGGACCAGGATTCCTTTGCCCCCAAAGGAGGCTGCGGGTTGCAAGTACAGAGTCAGTCCTGACCTGTAATGGGTTTGGGTGGCCTCACTTTCAGCAGCAGCACTGGGAGACTCAGCTTTACATCAGTTTTGTTTGCAGACACAGGAGACTCCTGCAACAGAAAAACGTTAGCCTGAGAACCATGTTGTACCCTACACTGCTAAGTTTTCACCTGTTCATGGGAATCAAATGCTTCCTAAAGGAAGCATATGCAAAGCTTGGCTGACACTGCCTAAGAGATGCTGCTTTTAGTATCTCCTAAATAGTGGCTCATTCATTCTTCAGGCCAAAACACAAGAGCTTGAGGGAGGACACTACTTTCTCGACAGCATTACAAAGGATGTCCTTCCCAGACATCTCCCATCTTTGTGCCCTAAATAACCTCTACTTCTGATTTTACTAATCTCTTAATTACTCTTGCTGCAGCACAGGCGTGGGTGGGGCACAGAAAGGTTCAGGGGGAAAAAAGGAATAAGAAAAAATAAAGTAAAAAAGAAAAGCAAAGAAGCAGGACCAAAGGTTGCAGAGTGCTGCTGAATACAAGAACCAGATTTTACTTCAGACACCCCAGGATTGGAGTAGGTCATGTAAGTGCTTGGCAGGGAATAGAAAATCCTAACAGGGGACCAGCACAAGTGTGTCCCCACCACAGCCACCCCACCCCACACACACATTGACACTCGGCTAAACAGAAAAGGTCTGGCTAAATAATCAACTACATCGGAGAAGGAAGAGGCAGGAACTTCAGTAGTTTACATGGAATCAGCAAAGAAGGAATGCCTGGGCGTTTGCTTTCGCCTTGGCCAAAAGAGGAAGAGTTATGAGGCAGGTATCACAAAGAGTTAGCTGGAGGTGCTGGGCAGAAGGTGCCTGTGTGTTGAGAGGTGAAATCTGGCAGGGTGAAAGCGATGCAGGAGAGGGTTAAGGACTGACTTTGCATTAAAAATTCCCCATAACAGCTCAGGATGTTCATTAACACCAGTTACCATCTCTGCAGAACCATCTCCACGCAGCTCCAGACTTTTCTGCCAGAGAACCAGAGGTGACAGTAGTTAGTGCAAACATGTAGAGACCCTCCCCTGTTCAGGCAGGTTTAGCCATGACCCCACCAGGCTCCTCTTGTAGATAGCCTAAAACACCAACCCTGGTTCAGGACCAGACTCCCAAGTGGAGATATCAGGCCTGGTTCTCACTCCTTCACCTTCCCCCAGTAACATAAAGGGAGAAGCCCTGTGGGAATACCCTTACATAGGTCCTCCTCTGATGGGGCAACACTGCTGGGAAAGGAGCTGCCAGTTTCAGGG